ATTATATTTCTCAAACATAAAGATGAAAGAAATCGTGAGGAGTTACTACACTGAAGCACAATGGTTCATCAAAGGGAAAAGTCCACCATTTGAAGAATACCTAAGCAATGCACTCATAACTGGAACTTATTACCTACTTGCACCAGCTTCATTATTGGGCATGAAATCAGCTTCAAAGGCAGCATTCGATTGGATGATGAATAAACCTAAGATTCTTGTGGCTTCAGCATTAATTGGTCGAGTTATTGATGACGTTGCAACTTACAAGGTATTTATTGATATATAAACTACTTCTCAATCTCAAATGAGATGTGAATTCGTTAATGTTTGCATGATCCATGATCTGCTTTTTTTTCTTTCGTATATATAGATTGAGAAAGAAAAAGGACAACTTGTGACGGGAATAGAATGCTATATGAAAGAGCACAATTTAACAGTGGAAGAAGCAAGTGCACAACTTTCTGAAATGGCTGAAAATGCATGGAAGGATTTGAACAAAGAGTGCATTATTAAGCCTACTAATTCTTCAATGCCAGCTGAAATCTTGAAGCCAATCGTAAATCTGACACGTCTAATTGATGTGGTTTACAAGAATAATGAAGATGGATATAGTAATCCAAAGAATAATGTGAAGTCTGTAATTGAAGCCTTACTCGTCAATCCCATCAACACGTAGAGGACTCAAAGGAAGATGGTCAAATATTAAATAAGTTAATGTGAACCATTAGAGTACTATTTTATTTAAAACTCCATTAATAAGTGATTTAATTTTTCTCCATCGTATTATTTTGATTGCAAATGTTTTATTTGAATGAATAAATTGTATGTGTCTCGAGAGTACAGAAATTTTCGTCAGTTATCCTTTTTGGGGACTAACTGTTTAGTAAATTAAATGCATAACTGGTAAAGTTGTTGTCGTGTGACCAGGAGGTCAGGGGTTCAAGCCATGAAAACAGCCTCTTGCAGAAATGTAGGGTAAGACTGCGTACAATAGAACCTTGTGATCCGACTCTTTCCTGGACCCCGCACATAGCGGGAGCTTAGTGCATCGGGTTGTCCTTTTTTTTATTTAGTAAATTAAATTGCTTTCTTTTTATTTTTCCTGCAGCTTATGGATATTTTAGACCACGGTCTAAAGATTACTTTCGAGCAAATTGAAATTTTGATAAGAAACATTAGACTGCCTTCTAATATTTTGCAAGTTATTGCAAAAGTGAGACGACGACAGCCTAATGTTTTGCCTGTAAAGTTGAACAATATATAAACAAATATTAGATCCAAGGCTAATAGTATCCGGAAGGATAATTTTTCAAGAGCTATATTCGGACAACTTTAAAAAATAGGGACAACATCGTCTAAATGGTGGCTTAAAAATATGGAACACTAGTTAATTTACCTGTACTTAACGCAGTTCAATATAATTTTTTGCTAAATTTAATATATAAGCAATAAAAAATAAAAAATAATGAAAGACATAAATACAAAAAATTAAAAAGTCAAATATATAAGATAGAAGGTACATAACAAGATAAAACATAAATTAGATCAATTAAAAAGTATCACGTGTATTTATTTTTATATATTTATCTTGATAGAGCTCATGCACAAATAAACATGTCTCAACTAATCAACCTTTTTTTTCCTTCAGAGTAATAAAGTTCCACATCCTATAAATCGTTTATCTTTCAGATACAATTATTCTCTTTTAGACCCAAACGAAGTTAGAAGAACCAATAGTGAATGCAGGGATGGAATATTGGCTAACATAACAGCCACATAAAGGGTGCGTTTGGTATGAAGGAAAACAAAAAATGTTTTTTAATTTTTTCATGTTTGGTTGGTTTAAATGTTTTGAAAAATATTTTTCTCATAAACTCATTTTCCTTCAATTGGAGGAAAATATTTTCCCTATAAAGAGAAGGAAAAATATTTTCCAAAACTCTTTTTCAACCTTCCCCACCCTTATTCCCCATCCTTACCAACCCACCCCCACACCNTGATGAGTAATAAGTGAAGAACAATCAAAGAAACACAATAAATGTAAGTAATAAACCAAAGGAAAGACAATAGAGAATGTTTAAGTTAGAGAGCAGAGAATGTTCTTGTTCTTCTATATAATATCATGTGTGCAAAAAATAACAAGGGTCCCTTTATATAGGAGGGGGAATCCTAATATAGTACATATGGATTTATTACAAAGATTTATAGCTGGTATAACTATTTAATAGACTTGGTCAGCTCCAACCACTTGCCTAGGGAATCTCCCACTCGTTCATCATGGCCCCCAATTTATACTACCCCGAGGTCGAGCTGTACCTCAAGCCTTCAAGTTCATTAAAACCTCGAGCTGTGCCTCGAGCCCTCTCACAACGAACTATAGAATACCGTGATGATCCGAAAATCGGACTCTCCGATTATAGCCGTATACAGTTGTAAGCTAAATATATCTTGGATTCTGACTTGAAGTTACTGTAGGAGGTATGTGTATGTGTTCTTGCATGTACTTAAGGTTATCTTGATGTTGATTAAGTTAAATGGATGGAGTAGACATGAACTAGTGAATAAAGTTACTAATTGAAGATAGTTGGAGTTGTGGATTGTTTCCTTTGTTATAAATATATGGCACAAGGATGGAATCATTGATTAATTACTTCATTATCATGTTAATGATACTATTAAGTTAATGTAAGAAGTCTATATGGGGTGATATGGGTTATACGGATTCCAATCGGAGCTTGTCGCTTGTCGTGAAGTAGTTGTGACTTGCTATTGTTTATGGTGTGTTGTTATTGATATTTATATGTTGATGAATTTCTCTGGTTATTATTGTTGGTATATGGTATTGGAGGAGGCCCTTTTTACAGGGGAGATGATGCCCAAATTTACGTAAGTAAGCTACTAGCTTAAGTTACAAACTTAGCCTTTGCTCAACACTAATTTTGAATCTCCTTATACTATGATAGATTGAGTTGACTTGTTTGAAGAGTTACTTGGGAGGTATTAAGGTCTCAATGGGTTAAGGTATGTTAAGGCACTTCCTTCTTTCTTTTAGCATGATCTAAAGTGAAATGAATATGCTATTTCATAACGGATCTACTCCTAGCAACTACGGTTGTTCATGTTGTTCTTTCCTTATAAAGTTATTCTAATCAAGTGTGTATGATCCTTGTATCCTACTGAGGTTCATATTGAGGGTACGGATGTCCATAATGTTAATCGAAGGTGCAACGACCTTAAGTCACTCCGAAAGGTTTAGAATGTGATTCCATGAGTCTAGCATGCATTATATATTGTATCTATTTTACTCTACCGAGCCGCGCTATAGTCGGCCGNAGGGTACGGATGTCCATAATGTTAATCGAAGGTGCAACGACCTTAAGTCACTCCGAAAGGTTTAGAATGTGATTCCATGAGTCTAGCATGCATTATATATTGTATCTATTTTACTCTACCGAGCCGCGCTATAGTCGGCTGGGTACGTCACCTATTGTGCAACCACTAATCAAATTGGTATACTGAGCTCCACGTGGCCGAGTACGATTCTACCGAGCCTTATGATGGTCAGGTATGTTTTTACCGAGTCCTCTATGAGGCTGGGTACGATATGATGATGATGATGCCCATAGACGCGTATGTTTTTATAAGTTTATGTATATATATGTATTATGCATTTCATGTCAGTAGCCCCTAGAGGCACTCAGATGTAATAGGTTGTATCTCATATATCTCTATTTACATTACTATTCTTGTTTATGTTTTCCTACCTTACATACTCGGTACTTTATTTGTACTGACGTCCCTTTTGCATAGGGACATTGCGTTTCATGCCTGCAGATCCCAATTGACAGGTTAACAGTCCTCCTAGCAGGCTATTAGCTCAGCGAAAGGTGTTGGTACACTCCACTTGCTCCGGAGTTGCCTATTTGGTCGGTATGCTTTGGACATGTATTGATTGGTATGGTGAGGCCCTGTCCCGACCTTTATGACATTTATGTACTCTTAGTGGCTGGTAGACATATGTCATGTACATGGATACTTGTATGGCCATGTCGGCCTATGTTTTCAGTGTCCAAATGATCATTTCGGTCTTATAGGCATGCATGTCACATGTCTAAGTTTGTATATCATGTTGGGTTGTCATATGTCGAGTATTCCCTTATATTTTATTATTTTTATCTCTTGATGACCTTTCTGGATCTTTTATGCATGATAGTATGATGATAAATATAGGTTACATTGGTACTCGGTTGAGTAAGGCACCGGGTGCCCATCGCGGCCCTTTGGTTTGGGTCGTGACATCTTCCCTGGACATGGATCTTGTCTGAGTATTTATTCTTGGAGATGGATCTTCTCCATAGGGCAAGAATGGCCTTCCTTGGTACTGGATGACTGCGGTCAGTGATGTATATATATTTCGGGATGGATCTTCCCTAGGCCGCACGACCATATACAGTACCGAGTGGTTGAGCACTTGTGAGTGGAGGTATACGGTACATTTTTCCATGCTTTTTATGCATTGGTACATAGAGATTTGTTGAGCTTTATACTTCATACTGTTCAGATGGTATTTATTTACTTTTGAGTTTTATACTTGAACTGCAAGCATGCCTACTTTTCTGTACAGTTTAAATGTATTATTTGTTGAGGTTTGGTTCATCACTACCTATCAGTCCATAGTTTGGACTTGTTACTTACTGAGTTGGTGTACTTAATTTACCCTACACCTTGTGTGCAGATCTAGGTATCTCAGGGCACGGTAGTGATTTTTGACTATTCCGGTTGCAGACTTCACGGAGATAGCGAGGTAATTTCCTGGCGATTCGCAGTTTTGTATTTCTCCTTCTCTATCTTCCTATTAGTACATTGTTGTTATTTTTAGACTATTTGGTCTTGACTTGTTTCGGAACTATTGTAGCGTGGCTCATGACTTAGTGACACCAGAGTTCGGGCTTGTATTTTTCCACTTTATTTTATTTTAACTTTATATCTTTATCATATTTCAGTTGAAAATTGGTTTTTCTTAAGGCTTTAAATGAAATGTGGACTTATTTGGAAATGTGTCGGATGGCCTAGTTTCACGATAGGCGCCATCACGACCGGGTTGGTTTGGGGTCGTGACAAGTTGTTATTAGAGCCTAGGTTACATAGGTCTCACGGTTCATGAGCAGGTTTAGTAGAGTCTCGCGGATCGGTACGGAGACGTATGTACTTATCCTTAGGAGGCTGCAAAACCTATAGGAAAAACTTCACACTCTTAAATTCCTATCGTGCGAATCTGTTAACTCTGGTAAGTAAACTTCTGTTATTCTATTCTCTCACAGATGGTGAGGACACGTGCTATCGATCAGGGCGGATGACCACCAGTACCACCAGTTGAGGCCACTAGAGGCTGAGGACACAGTCGAGGCCGTGGTAGTTATAGGGGTGTAGCCCGCACAGTAGCTAGGGCAACACCTGCAGATCCACCAGCTGGCACAATTCATGATAAGGTTCTAGTTGCGGATGCTCCAGTAAGACCAACAAAGGCATCGACCATGCCTATTGTTATTCCTGGTCTTAGGAGACCTTGGCTCAGATATTGATCGTGTGTACTAGCCTTGCTTAGGCGGTCGCGGTTTCTACTATAGCAGCTACTTCTCAGGCTGGGGGAGGCACTTGGCTCCCACCGCCCGTACACCCGAGCAGGTTGTTCCGTGACTACAGACACCAGAGGCACCACGAGCCCAGCCGCTTGCACCTGCTCAAGAGTTTGTTGTAACAGTTATGCCTGATGATGAACAACGTCGATTGGATAGGTTTGGTAGACTTTAGCCTCCGACTTTCAGTGGTGCAGAGGGCAAGGATGCCTAGG